TTAACAATTAGACCTCGAGGTCGAGTGGACTACGAGCTAATAGCCCATGAGGCCGAGTCCGCGAGGCCGAATGGGCTATTAGCTCGTAGTCCACGAGGCCGAGAGGTCTAATTGTTTTAGTATAAACATACTAATCGGTCAAATAATGAAAACAAATTGAAATATCCTTAAAATAATTTATAATTTATAACTTATTTATTTTGATTTTCCCGCGAGTGGTCTATCACAAATTAGACCATTAGTAGAGTAGCCAATCACAGCGCAGTATGAGTGATAGACCGTTAGTATGTTTATACTAATACACCTTAGTACACTCTAATTGCATTGTTTGTTTTAATATCACAATTGAATAGTAAAATTTTGTTTCACGGGTTTATTGACCTCACTCCATGCGAAATGTTTTATATTTTCTAATCTACACTACATTACCTTGTTTAGTACCATTGCCGTTTACACTCTCTCACCTATAATTTGTATTTTTTGTGGTATAGATTTCGTATTAGTATATGAAGAAACAGAAAAACTTGAACCTCCAGATTTCATTACAAAACGAAAGCAATACATGGATAACCTAAAGAAAGCACAACTGGAATTTGAAGAGGTAAATTTGAACAATTTTCCAAAACATATCGCTTTCTTTATTTCTGTCGGATGTTTTGGCTTGTGATTGCTGGATGGTGAAGTGGTGGGGAAGGGAGGGGAGGGGCTAAAAAACATATATTACGCACAAAACTCAAACCAGACTTTAAGCTCATAAGATATAGAGGATATTACATGGGCGCGCGAAGATACAGATTTTATCTTCGAGTGTTGAAAATATATTTAAACTTTTACTGCTGTTTTGTGTTTATAATAATTTATATAACAAAAAGAATGTTACATGGGCGCTTGGAGATACGAATTTTATCTTCGAGTTCTCGATTGATATCGAACGAGCGAGCGGCGCGCGCCAATGTAAATCCTCTATTTATCGTATATTAAATCAAATAAAATACCTATATCTCTCTCTTTCGAAAAGTTGTTATTTTCACTAGTGAAAATAATACATTCGAGGTTTCTATATACATTGGAAGTAAAAATAGGTATTTTACGACAAAATTTGCTTTCAAATATATTATATGATAAACAGAATATTACATGGTCGCTTGAAGATAAGAATTTTATCTTCTCGTTTTGATAATCTTTTCCAACACTAGAATCCGTATATTCGAGCGCCCATGTAATATCCTCTATTTAAGATTTTTTTGACAATTCCATGTAGGAAATCACTCAAGACAAATCAGGAAAGGTTCATTTCATCAAGTGTCATGTACCATGGGAAGTAATGCTATTTTATGCAGAGGAATTGAGTTTTAGAGCTCCACTAAAGGTAACGTATAGGACATGGTTACTAACAATAAGTAAAAACAACACAAAAATCCAGTATTTTTTACCATAACTTGTAGAATTCTCGCGCGCTGATAGGTTACTTTGTTTTCGGCTTTGTTTTTATGGTAAAAAACAAATCGAAATCGCTTTTCTATGGTCTGTACGCAGTTATCGACAATGAAAATGACGACAGAAAATGATCAAAACTTTGCAGTGAAACCACTCGCTACGCTCGATTTCGATTTGTTAAATCGACTGCATTTGATTGATGAAGACATTTAATTCCCACAGTAAGGTTCGGTCGTGTTCGTCCCATATTAATAACCTCTCACATTCTTCCACTACAGACGGTATAATATATCGTCCAGCTTGATGTGCAGCATCGTTTGCAGTCCAGATTCGAAATGTTACGATTACGTCACCGTTGTCAGGTTTCACATGGCTCCAGAAAAACCTGAAAAGTCGTGCAATTTCGTAGTCTTCCACATGAGATTTATTCGAGAGTCATGCTCATGGCAAATGTTCTAGCACTTTCCAGGCGAAACGCGTTTGGTCAAAAATGATGTCCCAAGTTCCTTTGCGTGCTGAGTGCAACACCACGTGACTACTTTCATTGCTCTGGCACCTTTAATAGTGCAACTCGTCCATACACGATTTTCAAAAATGTCGGTATTTCACGACCGCCAATATCGGGAGACTAGTGACGTAGCATGTAAACTAGAGCTCAAAGATCTAGAAATCACTACGAAGATCGCATGTATGTAGTGTCCAAAAATTTGAAAGATGTATTGATATGGTATTATGAAAAAAAAACACTCTTGCAAATACACCATCGAAGTTTACTGTATGGAAGCTGGCCTTTGAGACCTCGTTTTAGTGCTTCCTCTCAAGTGACCTGGTCGGCGAAAGTGACATTTTTGAAAGTCTCGAATAACTCTTGTCGTTTTATACTATAGCTAAGGACTGGTGTCAAAATCAACTGGTCTGAGAGAATGATGAAGAAGATCCACTTACCAAACATATTCAAAGACGACGTCCCTGACACACCTCCAGACTACTTTACAACTCAATTCCAGGCCGATAAACTACACAAGTACGATAAGATATCATTTTATTTTATTTTATTTCCTTTTTATTTCATTTTATAAAAAAAGATGTGTGTAGACCACAATGCAATGCAAACTGCTATCTCAGAAAAGGCCTATGTCAACTTTACCTTAAAGGGCTACTTGGACGAAAATTGCGAAACCTTAGAGAAGACTTGTAAATCAAATAGACCTATCCATATGGGTCTAATAATCATGAAGCAACAGATATCAAGAAGATGTTGATACAAATCCTTATTTTTTGAGCAAGAAATGTTGGAGTAGATTACGTCATTTACTCAATCCTTTTGTTCTTCCATCTTTTGAATCAAAATTTCTTTGACGTGGGATAATGCCAAAACAAATATTTTCCCAAAATTGTTTTTAATAGATATAAATGAGTCATATACTTGTATTTTTTTAAGTTTTGAAATAAGGGCATTTTCATGCAAGTAGCACTTTAACAATTTGAGTCATGCTTTGACTTCCAAACATGGTATTAAAATATGCTAACAGTTTGTAAAGCTTTGCTGGCAATGATAAGTGTCATGATAGATAGATTTGTTCTTCATGATAAAAGATTTTCTTTTTTTCATTTTGTTTGCAGATTTCTTAACAGTAACGATCCTGACAATTATTTCACTGACACAGAGAGAACAAGAGTGGTAAGCTTATGAAATAAAAGGCGCGCTTGCATCTGAGGATCTTTGAGATCGTTGATATTGTTTCAAAAGAGATTGTTGCGGCAACGGAAAATCGCCTCGAAGTTACATCCATGCAATTTTTAAACATGTTCGAAACTCTGGCTATGGTCGCGGGACTCTCGCCGCGAGAATCGCTCTGCAAAGTGTAAACGGACCTTAAGCAATTTCAACATGATAACATGAATTTCGTAAACAATTCAAGGTCCGTCCTCAATGCATTTTTTTTAGTCAGCCAACATATTAACACTTCTATCTACACCATATTGAAACAAATTAGGCGTTATCAGCAGAAACGTTAGAGAGGCCATTAGTGAACATTCTGTTAACAGTACCTTATTTTTCAGGCAAGTGAAATCTTAGAAACAGCTTGTTATGGTAACAGACAAAGAGGAGAAATAGGAATAAGCCGTTTGGTTAACGATGGGATCTACACTGCTGCGTATCCGTTGCATGTGGTACGTAAATCGTTACGGAAACCACGTTATTACGCATATAGCATCATACGGTCATATACAGCAATATGCAGGAATTATGATCATTTTGACCCATACTAATATATCAGAAGTTATGGGATATCATCGCCGATATTTTTTCGAAGTTGCATAGCACTAGTACTTTCTGGAAAAAAAAAAACATATTGGCGATGACATCACATAATTCTGATGGATATATGTACTTAAAGTGCACATGACACCTTTTAGAAAAACACTTTTATCCGAAAGTTTACACGCTGCCAACTACTTCTGCAAAAAAAGAAATAGATTTTGAATTGTATTTTCTGAGTTATAGACATTTGAAAATGATTTGACAAATTGAAAATGCAAATGTGACGTCAACTAAGGAATTGATCCAGTCTTTTTACATTGTTTGCGCTATGCTGTTCTTGGTTGAAGAGCACAAATCATCAATCGTAGTAATAATTGAGAGCTGAAAATGCTTTTTCCAATGTAACAAAAAGAATAATGTTCTCTTTCATGATTTTGTATATTAAATCAGCCTTAGTAGACGTCACTTCATTTGCATTTTCTAAGTTTTAATCGCCCATAACTTACAAAATACAATTTGTAGGATTCATTTACTTTTGAGACTCTTTTAATTGCGTAAGGTTCTACAATCAACAAATACAAAATACATTACCTACATAAAGTTACATTTGGGGACCGGTAAAACGAAGTAAAATTACATAAAACTTACCAAATCGTGAACAAATCCACACACARAAATTACGCCAAACTGAATAAATTAACTAACTGAACGGACGACTAAAYTGACTTACGAATACACTTGGGACATTACATAAACAGAAAAACTAATGAAACGTAAACGAACGAAATAATTAATCTTACACAATTTGAAATCA